CCCTGATATAAACTGTCGGAAACGCCGACGCAGATCATTTATCTACCGGTCATCGTGAGGAGCGTGACCGATATAACATTGCGAGTGGTGGATCAAAACGGACATCCGATTGATTTTCGCGGGGAGGAGATAACGATACGATTGCACGTGAGAAAACGCGTAGCGTGAGATATGCTCGTTGTTGGTGATTCGCGCGTGAAAAACGAGTCTGTTCCGTACGTTGACAGAAGAGGAGGAAGAGGGGGAGAGAACAAAAATCAATTGAGCGCCGCGAACGTCGCGTTTCTGCGATCGCTCGGTTTCATTGTGAGAAACAAGAATTATGGTGATCGACATCCTGAGCATCAGAGGTGAGCCGATTTTCGACGAGCGCATCGTCAAGATCGAGACTCACGCGTACAACCCCTATGCCAATGCAACGTTCGGATACAGCGATGAAGTACGAATACCCATACAGCAGCAGGATTTGTACACTCTACCGTGCGAAAGCGCTCTATACGTGGAGGGAAAATTGTCCGATGAGACATCGACGACGACGAATCAGACTTCAAAACTTGCGAGCAACTGCGTGGCCTTCATGTTCGAGGAGATACGTTACGAACTCAATGGCGTAGAGATCGATCGAAATCGCAACGTTGGAATAACCAGTACGATTAAGAATTACGTTTCGTTGACCTCGCGCGAGCTCGATATATTGCAGAACGCCGGGTGGGGTGAGCCACACGTTTCCGACAGCGGTTCCTTCAGCCTGTGCGTCCCCTTGAAAATATTATTGGGCTTTTGCGAGGACTACAAACCACTACGCGTAGTGGTGAACGCGCGACACGAACTTATCTTGATACGCGCGCGCACCGATACCAATTGCATCGTGGCGCAAGAGAGTGCTAAAAGTCCGAAAATCGTTCTTTCGAGGGTGCAATGGCGAATGCCGCACATTGTTTTGAACGACGTGAACAAATTGTCGCTTCTGCGAACGCTGGAGAGCGGACGGTTTTCAAGCGTCGGATTTCGCTCGTGGGATCTGTACGAATTTCCATTGCTGCAGAGCACCACCAAGCACTCGTGGGCCGTAAAAACTGCGGCGCAACTAGAGAAACCGCGATACGTTATCTTTGCCCTACAGACAGGACGACGAAACGTGTTGACACGCGATTCCTCGACCTTCGATCATTGCAAGCTCACCAACGTGAAACTGTACTTGAATTCAGACTTTTATCCCTATGACGACATGAATCTTGATATCGAGAACAATAAATTTGCTATACTGTACGACATGTATGCAAAATTTCAAAAATCGTACTATGGGCGAAAACTCGACAGGAGAGGCTCAATTGCGCACAGTACAATTGGACACGATGCAATTGCACACAGTGCTATTGGACACATAATGTTGCGCACAGTTCTTTTGCGCACAGTTCTTTTGCGCACCGTACAATTGGACACCGTTGCTTTTGGATACAGGTTATCGAAATATAATTTAAAACACACAGACACACGCGTATGCATGTAGAGCCCTGTTTGGAAATTTTGCTAATTCATAAATAATAAATCTTTCTAAATCAGCGTTTGTTCAATTGGACAATTCTTTTACGCACAGTTCAGTGTCGCACAGTTCAGTGTCGCACAGTTCAGTGTCGCACAGTTCAGTTTCGCACATTTCAGTCTCGCACATTTCACTTTCGCACAATTCAGTGTAGATGCACACAAGAATATTCTGCTTTACAAAATAGTTGATTTCACTTAATTTGTTTTTCCAATTCTTGATTTCTTCACCTTGTATCTGTTACATGTGCAATGACACTGAACTATGCGAAACTGAACTGTGCGAAAGTGAACTGTGCGAAACTGACATGT